GAAATTACGTGCATCATATTTGGCAAAAACTCTGTAATAACGCGAATGGGAGCAAGAGCGTGCTTTCATCTTCACGGAATCATCTTAACTGCCTGTTCCAATTGGATTATCCAGCTCTATATGGCCTTCCGAAGCGCTGGCTCTAACGAACTTACTGCAGCGGACCGTTTTCCCGACCATGTAGACTAAAGCGGAAATGCTTCTGAAACCATTCCGGACATGCCAGGTTGGAGTCTTGGCCTTGAAAGGGACTGTCCTCATTGTTTATTTCCTAACTCCAGGTGGATTGCTCTTCTTTCGCCATGACGGATTAGTCCCTCTGGCCTGTTCCCATCCAGAATTAACATGAAATTATAAATCTTACAGACAGTTGGAAGGACTTCTTGGTCGGGTGATCAGCCAGCCGCAATATCGGTACTTAACGCAGGACAACACAAAACACAGAACTCAGACAGTGATTCATGCCACGAGTAGGATTCGAATCCACGATCCCAGTCTTTGAGCGGGAGAAGACATTTCGTCCTTAGAGTGCCAATTTTATCGCCCCCAGATGAATTCTGGTATACTCTATTGAAATAGGCCACGGCAACCGTCCTTAAGCTCATTCGAATTCACTGAGCATGGTAATCTTATAATTCGATTCTGAATAACCTCTGAATTTTATATAACGTCTTTAAATATCCTAGGATCCTTCCATCCCGCAATTAATTTTGCTGAGGACCAAGCCATCACAGCAGAACTGTTAATTACGTGGCATGTAACTCAAAGAAACAGGCCCATGGAATATTCAGTTCAGGCTCCTACTTAGGGAAACTGAACTGCGAACATTAGAGTAAGGGTCAGTGATTGATTTTCTTGACATCCATCATCCAGATTGAAAAAGAAAATGGACGAAGGATAATGTCCACAAAATCAATCATTCTATTAATATGCCATTGTCACGAACTTTAGATCTTTTTTATTAGAATCGGGTTTTTATCGCCAGTCGTATATCGGATTCACAGACCAGTAGCTCGGAGATGGCAGTATGCCGTCTCGCAGTGACCTATAGCATGCAGATTATTGGTCTAAATTATATTAATCCATAGCACATCCGAACTGATTTTCCGAGGGCCGGTATGCCGTCTCGCAGTGACCTATAGCATGCAGATTATTGGTCTAAATTATATTAATCCATAGCACATCCGAACTGATTTTCCGAGGGCCGGTATGCCGTCTCGCAGTGACCTATAGCATGCAGATTATTGGTCTAAATTATATTAATCCATAGCACATCCGAACTGATTTTCCGAGGGCCGGTATGCCGTCTCGCAGTGACCTATAGCATGCAGATTATTGGTCTAAATTATATTAATCCATAGCACATCCGAACTGATTTTCCGAGGGCCGGTATGCCGTCTCGCAGTGACCTATAGCATGCAGATTATTGGTCTAAATTATATTAATCCATAGCACATCCGAACTGATTTTCCGAGGGCCGGTATGCCGTCTCGCAGTGACCTATAGCATGCAGATTATTGGTCTAAATTATATTAATCCATAGCACATCCGAACTGATTTTCCGAGGGCCGGTATGCCGTCTCGCAGTGACCTATAGCATGCAGATTATTGGTCTAAATTATATTAATCCATAGCACATCCGAACTGATTTTCCGAGGGCCGGTATGCCGTCTCGCAGTGACCTATAGCATGCAGATTATTGGTCTAAATTATATTAATCCATAGCACATCCGAACTGATTTTCCGAGGGCCGGTATGCCGTCTCGCAGTGACCTATAGCATGCAGATTATTGGTCTAAATTATATTAATCCATAGCACATCCGAACTGATTTTCCGAGGGCCGGTATGCCGTCTCGCAGTGACCTATAGCATGCAGATTATTGGTCTAAATTATATTAATCCATAGCACATCCGAACTGATTTTCCGAGGGCCGGTATGCCGTCTCGCAGTGACCTATAGCATGCAGATTATTGGTCTAAATTATATTAATCCATAGCACATCCGAACTGATTTATTTGCAATGTAAAAAGTAACGTTTTAATGTGGTATTACAGTCGGAGAGATGTCATCACCCACCGTGAACTTTATATATGAGAGCGCATTAAATATCTCAAGTTTCAGACATTCGTTTTCCAACGATCTTAGTTCCTAACGGGGCCCCATTTCTGCGGGATGCGCCGCTGTTGGAACTCCCATGTCCTTGGCCTCACCACAAGAGTGGCCACGCCATTGCACTCCGCAGAGGAAGCGAGCGGAAGTGCTGGAGTAATGTGGAGGGTTATTTAATCGCTAAAAGGAAATAAAAATGGGAAAAATCGCTTACTGTAGAAGAGTAATTATTCCATCTATGGTGAAACACATGTATAATATGATGCATGCTGTAATTAGTGGGCAGACAGAGTTTGGGGGACATCCGGTTGATAAACACTGCCGCAAGATTTCCGTACCACGAGAATCTCCAACTTGGAATCTGTCCGACGTCAGCGTTTCGCCCTAGCCTGTTCAGAATTGTTTGAAGCCATGAACGTGCTATTAATTACTAATTACAAACGGCGCCAAATGTTGATCAGTCATACAAAACATGATATACAGTGACAACAATCCATTAGTTATCCAATTTTAATTTCACCAGTTAACATCAGTGGCTTGGGCTGACGAATGAGAGGTGGGGAGACGAGCCTGAACAAGTGGTCGGCCTGGGGGGGGGCAGTGGTGGTGGTAGTATTAGTAATAGTGCAGTAGTAGGAGGAGGAACCGCTGCATCTGCAAATAAAGGGCTCTCGCCACTTGAATTAGCTGTTTATTTTGTGTTTCGGCACAGCCTACCATATTCAGTAGGCTACAAGTTGGATGGCACGAGTTTGAACCCAGCAAGGCCAGAGACTCGTCTTTTCCTCCGTCTCCAGGACGTCTACTTTCCTCTCAGCTTCCTGCTCATTGGGCACCGTTTTGACTTTCTCTGGGGAAGGGGGAGTGAAACTGACCCGTCAAAAAACCCCGTGGATTTAGTCTGCAAGCGAACTATACCGATTGAGCTACCGCCCCATGTCGGCGAAGTTAATGTCAACTTTAGCGGATAGAGGGTGTCACGTGGTCAGCGCATCGAATCCCCACGGGCGTTAATTTCAGTTTTCTAGACCGGAGCCGCTATTTCTTTGAAATGGCTCCTCAAATATCACGAGGCTGAATGGACCCCGTTCCAGACCCACTACTTCTCAGAAAATCTGGTAGCGCCGGGAATCGAACCCGGACCTCTGGATCTGTAGCCAGGAACTCTGACCACTAGACTGCAGGGGCGGTCTGAAACTGACCCCTCACGTCCATTCATTGTCAGTGTGAAGGATCCGATGTGCTGTATCTGTACTGCCTCACACCCCTTCATGGCGCATTGTTTACTTAAGCACAGGAATACCTTTGCTTTCTCCCTTTGATTAAAATGTAGCTAAATGTTTCGCCGTGTTGGTTCATTAATTGTACTCATTGTTAAAGAGATTACTGATGACACGATTTCTGTGTCTTGTATACGTGGAATTAGGGAACTCGTTGAGGAAACCGGGACGAACGATATGTTTAAGGGCTTGCGGTTAGAAAATACAGAACATTTCATCACCCTAAGGGAAGAAGTCAGATTGAAACTGTCCGGGAATAAAGTGCTGACGCGAATATTTGAAACCTGCGTCGGGGGGAGCAAGGGGAGACCGGATAAAATGGAATAATATGGAGCTCTATAATTTGTACTCTTAACAAAACGTCATTAGGGTGGTTAAATGAGGAAGGATGGGATTGGCGGGACGTTTAGCCTCCCACGTGTTCTGAAACGAGCGTTACATATAAATTAGGCCGTGTAATGACATAGTATAGGTCTAGTCTGAAAACCTGGGAAGACGTGTAGGCATGGATGTGGGGATACTATTAAAATGGATCTTGAAGAAATAGGGTATTGGTTGTGAACTGGATGTCCTGGATCCAGTGATGGTTTTCGTGTGAACACAGAAATGAAGTGTGAGATTTTATATTCTCATGGCGCTGACTATGAAATTACTGTCTTCTGGATGCGATGCCGTATAGTCTGGTATATATGTAACATGATGTCACCATATTCAGCGCTTCGCATCCCAGAAGGCAGAAATCTTCACGGTGATGAGCCTATGTTGCTTGCAGTTTCTTGACACGTTAAGCGACTATTTAGTTTCTTACGAACATTATACTCGTAGTGCACTGAAAATCGTCTGTCTTCGGTTCGAATCTTGGCCGAAAAATGGGCCAACATGACCAAATTTCTTGGAGGCTTTCCTGAGTCTGTCTGTCGCCGCCTCTGCAGGTATAGCAGTAACACACTCAAGACTTTTATTCGATTCTAAGTCATAACTCAAGTTCTTCGTGGCTTTCCATAGGCCTCAGGTAGATTACGGAATACTGCTTTGAAACAGGCCACGACAACTTTCTTCCAGCCTGCATGGCTCACCATTAATGTGTCTTTTCGTCTCATTTAACACTAAACAAACCACGCAGTTTGAACTTCACTGATAAGTAACTTAATTCAAAGGGCCGCACCATACCTCAAGCGGTTAGTCGCTGGCTTCCCATCGCGGCGGCCCGGTTTCGATCCCGGGTCTGGTCAAGTGGGATTTGTGGTGGACAAAGTGGCGCTGGTGCAGGTTTTCTCCGAGTACTTCGGTTTCCTCTGCCAATCTTCATTCCACCAATTGCTCCACAATCGCCCTCACCTATCATCTGGGGCTGGTACAATCGGCCAGAAGTGGCCGCAGTACAAGGGACTTGGTCCCACCCCACTAGCAATAAAAAAACTTAATTCAAGACTCACTCAGGTCAGGCCGCGCCGCAAGGCAGCCCCCTTAAGTTCTGAAAGTAAAATATCATATGCAGTTGAGTATGTGTGTGACGTCTTCAGCATGTCTCGAGCTTGTGTGGTGCTGAAGAGAAGGCTATGTCCTCTCTGTGAGCTGCAGTATTTTTAATGCACGCATATGTTTACAGGATGACTGCCAGAACTACATCCGCGTGCTGGCGAAGATAGCCGAGAACAAGGTGCTTATCTGCGGCACGAACGCCTACAAGCCACTGTGCAGACACTACCACTTCAAGGTAAGTTTGCCGTTATTGTACCCAGGGATTGTCATCTCGAGAGATGGTTCAGTAACCCCTTAGCGCAAGCAACCATAGTGAACTGTCAGCTATTCAATTTGGGCGCAGAAAGTATTCTGGATATGAAGTGCAGTCTCCAAATTCGACTTTAGATCGGCACGTAGCGTATGTTTCCATGCAAATGCATTTGTTTCGACCACGCAGGATCATCATCAGATATATATTATTTATGTAAAACATACACTGTGCTGTATAGCCCTTAAGGTCTTTCAAGTTACTGGAAACAAATTATGGGAATAATTAATAGCCAACTTTCCTTGATATGACATGGCTCACATAGAAAACGACGCATTTAATAGTTCTTCCGTTGTTGCGTGTGAATGCATTGCCGCGGTAATGTTTTTACCGAGCCGTTGCCTAGCGACGATAGGGCATACACATACAGACACGCAGACTGATGGGAGAGATTTATGAAGTACGCCGTTGAGATGGGCTCAGCTGCCATGATATACATACAGAATTATATAAGATTGTTACAGGCATTCAGACGGTAACGGGAGAGGATACACAGACAGACAGCGTGGAGACAGCATAAGCCAACTTTATTTTATTTTTTTTTCAAAATAAGTGAAGTAGGTCAAAAATTATGTGTTTGTGCCTTAGTGTTCTTCCTTTTGTTTTGTGTTTTGGCTGGGATGCGTGTTTCTTGGGTGGTGTAGTCTACACACACGCACACACTAGCCACTAGAGCGTATGCACTTAACTAGGATACCATACCAGACTTTTGTTCTCACGGCGGTGACTAGGATATGACGCCGTGAGGTCCCGTAGATGTGTATCGACGTTTCGGATGAACATGCTACTTCCATCTTCAGTGTATACGAGTATGCTGTGAAAAATATGATACGAATGTACGAAGAAGGGGTACGGGGCACCGAAACTTCCGGTAGGAGTAAGAACGGCGGAAGTAACTGAGTGCCCGTAAAACTGTCGTTTTCAAGGGTTAAAGAGATTTGGAGAAATAGCGGCTCTTTTTGAAGCATTGAGGGGTGTTGAGGAGACAGGAGAGCGCGTTCGACCAGAATAATGACGACTATCTACTAGGCTATATGGGTTTATTTCCTTCTTTTCTTATGTTCATCGTTTGTTAACTTTCTCCAGCCTTTGGTTTTGGTAAATCTGCTAATACTCGTAGTTGTTGCTTCCTTGAGTGGTAAGTTGCGATTTTACGTCATTTAGCACGTGCTTCAGGATTAGCGTTTACTGCTTGTGTTTGTACTTCGTCTAATTAAGCGATAATTGCAGCCTTGAGTCGAGTTCTAATACGGTTTTGGTGTAAATCATTAACGCAACCTAATCGCCCTTTCCACTTATTGAAATTAAGCGGCTGAAGTGGCTCTTGAAGTCGCTGCTTCATGTTACAGAGGCATGCTGAGTTTTGCCCTGTCACCGTATCCATTATCCTCTCACGGTCTGTAACTCATGTTCCCATGTGAGCGCAGCTCTACATACATCATTGGCAATACTCCTTGTTCTCGCCGCCCGCCTGATTCCGCACCAATAATGATAGGTTTGGCCCCAGGCGATGGGCATCGGCCCTGCCTTCAGAAGTGGCGATGCGCGACGGGAAGTACTTATCTTCCCGCACTAATTAACTTTCTGTCGTCGTCATGGGGAATTACCGTCGCAACTGCACTGGCCGATTTTGTGTACCATGAAGCAGGGCATAAAAAAGACCCTTTAATTTTTGTCAAATCGCGAACTTAATTCTGGGAAATTGCTGACGTGAAACATAATTTTTGCTGTTCTTCAGCGACAATAGATTAGCCTAGATTATTAGCGTCTTCCAGTTCAGAATTAGCTTCGGTCGGTCGGTTAAATTGTTGCTGGCCTTCGCCAGCACAGTAATTCTTCCCTTTAGTCTCCTTGTGATAACTTAATTCTGGGAAATTGCTGACGTGAAACATAATTTTTGCTGTTCTTCAGCGACAGTAGATTAGCCTAGACTATTAGCCTCTTTCAGTTTAGAATTAGCTTCGGTCGGTCGGTTAAATTGTTGCTGGCCTTCGCCAGCACAGTAATTCTTGCCTTTAGTCTCCTTGTGATCCATAACCAATATTTTATTCTGTCCTAGACATGTACGTGTTTCGAAATGGGGCCTCCTCTTCGACGAAGGAGGGGGTCGGTCCTTCTATGTAGGCGCTACGTTTGTTACTCTAAAACTATATTGTGGCACGTGGGCTCGTTGCTAGGAAACTACCGCGAAATAAAGGATGAGTCAGTCAGTAAATCAGAGAGTTAGAGAATTGCTGGGGCTCAGTCATTGGGAGCTGTTGCTTTGAGAAGCCGATAGCTGAGGTCGGAGACAGTTCGGGAATACAGATGAAGGAGGACGCCCGCCGTTGGAAGCCGCTACCAAGCAAAGGCTAGTTAATACGTGACTGTGGACACTAGTGTGTGTAAAAGTTAAGTGTGAAGTGTAGTCACGCGCTATATCAAAGAGTCCAACCCACAACCCGTCTGTAGTCACTCAGTCACGGGACAAGGTATATAAACATTTGGTAGGACTTCTTATACGGGTATCGGCGTATCACAAGTCCTTTACCTGTAGGTAGGTCGTGACACAGCTCAAGGGATTAGTCTTAGGCTTTCCACCGGGTCTGTCTGGGTTCCATCCCACGTTAGGTGATGTGGGGTTTGTGGTGGACAAAGTGGGACTGGGGCGGGTTTCCTCGCAAGTTTCCCTACCAACCGTCATTGCATGTACTGCTCCATACACACCTGCCATTGTAGGCTTGTACAGTGGGCCCGCTAGTGGTTTACAGGCCTGCACAGTATATAAAAACGCAAACATGCATTAGTGCTCCAAAAGGACTAAAACCCGCACGCCTTACAACGGGCGGCCTGTCAGAACGCCATGGTTTTTGCCGACCTGCTTACTCGTAGTTTTGGATGGCATGCAGTTGATTTCCAATTTCCTTTCGTCAGTGTTTCATGAGGTCTTCGGCAGTTGGCTTCCACAAAAGTTGATTCCGATGTAGAATGGGATCTGCTGCTTAATTTTCATTAAAGCCATGTGTAATTCGTATATTCCATCAGTGCAGTTTTCCACCCTTTTTGGGTGGTGTGCTAGTGTGTGTGTGCATGCAGCTTGCGTATTAGAAGATTTTCATGGTAGTGGAATGAAGATTCTGTTCAGGACAGAATTTACATTTGTGGGAGCGCTGTTAGAACAAGAGATTCAGGTTCTGACAGTTTTTTTGTTTTTGTTATTTCTAATAATAATAACTGAGAGTACAGAGAGACTTTGTGATTTAAGAGAAGCAGATGTCTCGGTAAAGAATGCGTGTTCTATTTCTGTTTTGTGGAGGTCCCGGGGCGACCGCCCCGGTCGCTGCTCCTTAAACCCGGCCCTGCTTATGCTGTTGGAGGTACAGACTTTTTTTATTATTTTTACTTACACATTTACCGGTTCTGAGATGTGAGCATCAGTTTCATTTCACCTTTTCTGCCCCATTTCATTTCACGAGTTTGATATCTGACCAATTAACTAAAGAGTCCGTTTTCCCACTACGTTTAAATACGCACGTTAAACGTCGCAGGAGACATTAATTCTACTACATGTAGCTAGGTTGGTTGAGGCATTATGCTACAGAACGGAAGGTCGCGGGTTCGAGTCCCTATGAGGTGAATCTTTTCAATTTACCTACTCCTTCCAGCCGCACTATAGCCCTGGAGTAGACTCAGCCTCTTAACAGAAATGAGTACCAGGAATCTTCCTGGCGGTAAAGGGCGGCTGGCACCCAGGGCTGCGAACCTTCCCGCCATCTATGAGCCGATTGTCTAGAAAGTGAGGGAGTCTCGACGTCTCACAGCCATATGGGCCTTCACGGCCGGTTACATGGATAGCTTTACCTCTGTTTTACAGTATTGCGTTCGAGGTTAACATAGCATTGGCATTGCATGTGATATTATTTGTTTATTGTTTATTTACCAATTTCTTCAGTGGCCCAGCTTGTATAGCGTCGAGTGATAGAAACATATAGTGAATAGTTAATTGGATGGAATATTGAAAGAGGCAGCGGGGACCTAATTTGAAGTTCTGTTCTGAAGTGATATTTGCAACCTCTTGTTGAGACTTGTTGAGGTAGAATGCGTGACCTTGACAATATTTTTTTTAATGCTAGTGGGGTGGGACTAAGTCTCTTGTACTGCGGCCACTTCTGGCCTATTGTACCAGCTCCACATGATAAGTGAGGGAGATTGTGGAGCAATTGGTGGAATGAAGATTGGCAGGGGAAACCGACGTACTCGGAGAAAACCTGCCCCAGCGCCAATTTGTCTACCACAAGTCCCACTTGACCAGACCCAGGATCGAACCCGGGCCGCCGCGGTGGGAAGCCAGCGACTAACCGCTTGAGCGATGGCGCGGACGGACCTTGACAGTAAGGTGTGTTGTAGAGTCGTGTTCGGATTTTACAACTGTTACGTTGTACCAGCCACTGACACAAGGAATGGTGTGGTGCGATTTTATAAATTTATAGAGATTTGTGTGGTTCTTGTATATGTAGAAACATTAACATGGCGACGCTGCGAACTTTGAGGTTAAATCTGTCAGTGCATCAGTAACTGTCAGGCACTAAATCCGTTCTCTGCTGCCTCCCTTGTTTTTATATACCTTCACTACACATTCACATTTCCCTGCTATTGTCATAAATGGGCGAAGGTGCAGGCAAAAAGGCGTGATGTTATTTTTATCGAAGAATGTTGGCAGCTCTGTCTGTAAGGAGCGGAGGTTGTGACGTCATGTTGGTTAGGGTAAACAGTCATGTCAGAATCAAAACTTGAAATATCAAGCGCACGGCTAATGTTGTTTTTTAACGGCGTACATACATTTACAAATGTATTCGGTTTTTAACACCTCATTTCCATAGAGGTTAGTTTATTGCACATGCAAATTTGTTGTTACGAAGGTAATTGCACTGCAGATGTAACTATGC